GAATGGTAATTTATAATCAGTCACAAGAACGTCGAATCTGAATCACTTGAAAAAAACACGGGGGTGCTTAACTTTTTTCCAGATGTATATAATGAGAAGTACTATTCCTAAAAAAAAAAAAAGTTTTATAAGATCTTTCCATTTTTGCATCACTCTAAGTGTACACTCTCAATTGAACATTAAAGCTTTAATTAAGAGATATAATTCTAATTCTACATCACTAGGTGTTTACTCAAAAATATTGTAGAGCAGGTATATTAGCATAATATATTGTTGTTGTTTTTAGTTTTATTTCATAAATGAAAATTTGGAGAAATGCTCACTTTTTTTTATAGTAATATTATTTGGTGAAAAATTTAACGTATTTTTCCAAACACACACACACACACACACACACACACACACACACACTGTGATGTACATATGCATGTACACAAGCATGTATACTTATAATTACAAAAATTTGCAGAGTTACTAACTTTCCATTAATGCTTAGTACAATGCCTTAGATCAGACTTAATTAAACCTGCTAAGCAGGCCAAAACATCTTGAACAGTAAGAGTACAGAACTTAATACTTAATGTAATGTACTTGCTATATTAAAGTTAATACAATTTTGGTTGGTTTTTATAGAAAGAAATATTCATAGTGAACGTAATCATTGTTAGGTTCAGGATAGACTAATTACCAATCAACTATAAGGAATATGACTCAACCTATTTAGATGTTATTTTGTTTAATTAACTAAATTTGAGTCTACGTTATTTTTAATATAACCTAACTACCTGTATATCATTTATGCTTCTGTTTGTGTATTCTAATATTTAATTATTTTCTTGTATTTGGAAGTCAAATAGAAATGATAACCTTCTTTTTGTTTTGAACTTACAACTTTCAGAAAAATTAATTAGGGTGTTCTATTAGACTAACATGAACAACAACACGAACTTGTTCATCATGAAAGTTATTTGAACATTCCTTTATGGCAAGAAAAGAAAAAAAAATGATGTTACTTAAAATATTGTCTTGATTGTTTTAAAGGTGAATTTGTTTGGTTGAATTATTATGCATGTGATTTAGAACTGTCCATTGTTTTCCAGAGAAAGAGTTTGAGAAGTTTCCTTACATCAGATCTTTTAGTTATAGTGGGTGGAGTTGTGGAATTGGTGCCTTATCAAATAAGAAAAACTTAAACTGTCAGAGGTTAAAAACTGTTCTTGTTGAAAATATAGTTAGCAACTTTTGAAGTCTTCATAATGCACTGTAGACCTGCAACCTAGAGGAACTACAAAAGTGTTTTTGGAAGCAGATTGTGTTTGGTATTAATAACTTATGAAGGAATTTAGTGAAGATCATAAAATTCCCGATAAGGAAATTCTATTTTATAATTTAGAGGATAAATATGAAAACACGTATCTTGGTATTTACTTTTTTTTTTCTAATGAAAACTTTGTGATGCAGATTAAGTAATTATTATCAACGTAGAATTGTTTGAATTTGTTTTTAATGTTTGATTTGTAAAAGTGTCTAAAAGCTTAAGCATTTTACTTACATTTTTCACTGTTATGCTTTAGTATTTTTGTTTTTTTTTATGCTATTTTTTATTTGCTGTCTAAAAAAACTTCAAATAATATTCAAATTCAAGCATCATTCAGTTGTACATCTTAAGCTTTGGCTGTAATCTCAATTCAACTAAGAAAATTGCATGATTATGGTAAAAAAATTTGCTAGAATAGTGTTAGCTATAGGTACCTTTGGTTAGTCCTTCACAAAAATGTTTCTTTTAATTCTGTATTGAAATAAGTTTTATAAGAAAGGGTTTATGGTTTTATTAAGCTTTGATTACCACATGAGGCCTGTCTATTAAATGTCCTGCCAGTGTCCTATGAGAAAGATTTTTAATAAATCTATCTCAATGATGAAGTTAAAGAATTGCAGTATTGATCCAGAGTTTTTTAAATGTTGTAATAGACATGTAACCAAAATAAAGCCAACCAAGTTATTTTTCTATTAAGAATTACATGTAGATGAGACTATTTCTTCAAATTTGTTAAGCAAATAAGTTTAGAAACCACATATTTTCATTGTTTGTTATAGGTAACATTATAAGTTATTTATACAGAACTTTCTCTTGAATCTGTGTCAATTTGAATATTTGTCCTGTTTTCTTTGTATATGAAAAATGACCTTGGAACATGGAAATTTTTATAACATTTTGGTAAATTTTGAAGAGGTGTTTTACATTATATTGGCATAATATGTATGTAGGATTATCAATATATAATCATTCATAAACAGGGTCAACTGAACTTGTTTCATGTGAGTACATTGTTAGATAAAAAACATGAGCAATATTGACATTCTAGGCTTGCTTTATTAACATGTATATATCATTTGCATTTATATTGTATTCATATAGCATTTAACAATCATAACACTAGACGTTTAGAGAAAACATTTACAATCAAAAAAGGGTCTTCCTCAGGATCTGAGTTTAGGAACTATTTAGGAACTATACAAAGTTTAAATGTTTTTGATTTAGTTAAGTGTGTTTGGTAGGTTGATTTTTGTTCATTTTGTATCAGAGAAATATTGAGGGAGTAATTCCATTATAAAATGATACTGAACCAGCATAATTAACACTTTCAGGTGGTAATGTACAGAACTTAATGCTAGGACTAGTTTCACTTGATACAACGTATAAGTAAACCTTTACACAATATTCAGGTAATTGTAGCTGGTTTGTTATAAGTTCTTTTGTTTTCATGAAAGCCTTACACTAGTGGCCAAATGCTTATTCCTCTTGAGACAAGTAAAGTCTGTGGGTACATGTAATTGTGCATCATAAAATTAAGAAGTTAGTAATAATACCATTTGTGCCACTTTGTAGCAGAAAGAGTTTAACTTTTGGTGCTCTGAAGCAAACTCTGGATAAATTTACTGTTATTTAATCCTAACCATGACAGCATTTTCTGTTGTAGTTTTTTATTGTTCAATGAACTTTCTTGGTGTATTGACTGTACTTGTTTGATTATTCTATAAAACTTCTTGTTTCATGTTTTTATGGTTTGTCACTTAGGATCATACACACTTAAATTGTGTTTTTGTCAGGATGTTTTCAATGTAGAAATCTTATTTTGAAAACAAAGCTAATAACTTTGTCCATTCTTGGATTATTTTGTATGTATGGACTATTTTTTCATTGCTACTTGTTGGTTGAAGTGAACTATAGCATGAAGAGATAGATATTAAAGCAACCATTTTGTCTTTCTTGTTAGTAATAGATACATTATTTTATCAGTCAAAACATCCGAGTGACATTTGAATCAATTTATTGAACATAAGGTTTTCTAATTTGATTGTCTTGTTACATGGGATGCTGATATACCCAACGAACACGAGTTTAAATGTACTGGTGAGTGTTAATTAGAAATATAAAGGTTTTGTTTCATTAAATATAACGGATATATCAACATCTCAGTAGGTAATAAAAGTTGTAGAAATTTGGTTGAAATAAATCTCTTCTGTCTACAACCATACCTTCTTCCCACCTCTTTTTTTTGTGTACATTAAAACACTTATAAGGCTTTGTCGTTGTATTGTAGAAAAAAAGAAGATATGTTTGAGTATGTGTAGGGTGAAATCCATTTTCACAGTGAATGTTAATGTATGCTTATGAGTTATTAATAATACATAAAACCTCATAAATAATACTTGAGTTTTGGGGAAGTAACAAAAGGTTTTTATTGATGGCTAATTTTCTGCATTGTTTTTTACAAAGATATAGTAAAAGTATTGAGAAAAAGGGATTTTGTTTTTAAAAGGTCCTAAACCAAGAGAGATGCAACTTGCTAACTTTATTTCACTTAGATTTGTGTTAATGTTTCAAGAATATCATTAAATATTTAAGATTTGCTTTTTTCGACATGTTCTTTACAAAACCTAACATGTAAGTAGGTTTATTCCTGAATGAATTTAATAAAAGTTGATATTTATATGTCTCTCTGCTACTATGTTTTTAATTCCATAGTAATCAACTATATGATGATTCTGGAGTCAAATCAAACCTTCTGTAAAAAACAAAACAAAAGAATACCCAGTTGGAATGAAATAATTAAACTAAAGATGGCTTCTAACCTTGATTATGTTGGTTGAAATGTATTTGGAAATAAGTTTTAGGGTAAAGCATTTTACACTGTTAATACATTTTAAATTACCTAATAGAATATCAATAAATATATTCATAGGGGATGTTAATAACTTGTACAATTCAATGGCATTCTATTGTAAAGATAGAATGGTGCATATGTGTGAAAAATGAAAGTTGCTGGTGGATAAGCAAGTATTTTATTAATATACCACACGTTGGTATTTAATTGATATCATTCTCACCTATGTGACATGAATTCTTTGAGTTTGGTTTTCATGTGAATGTTTCTTTCATCATCATGGACACATTTTTTATAATAACCTAACATTTGGAAAGAATGGACACATTTTTTATAATAACCTAACATTTGGAAAGAATGGACACATTTTTTATAATAACCTAACATTTGGAAAGAATGGACACATTTTTTATAATAACCTAACATTTGGAAAACATGGACACATTTTTATAATAACCTAGTTTTCCAAATGTTAGGTTATTATAAAAATGTGTCCATGTTTTCCAAATGTTAAATGGATGAGAGCTTCTGTTGATTAACTTGTTATTACCTGTTGAGGGTTCCTACACATCCTGGCATTCCATGGATTTGGACTTCTTCAATTTCTGGGTCTGGCAAATCTTGGAAAACAATCTAAGTAACTTCCTAAGAAAACTTCAGTAATTTCTCAAATAATGGTTTAAAAAATACTGATTAAATGACAATTGTTGTTGGTGTTTTTCTCAGTTTAAATGTCGTAAGCATATATGTATTCACTGGCTAATACATATTAATGAGTACTGCAGTGGGCAGTCTAAATGTCTTCATGATGACTAATAAAAATTGATGAGAAATTGAGCATTTTGGCATTTTGGGATCACTTAAAGTATATGAAACTATAACCTGAATTTTTGTATCAAGTTTAATTCAATAGCTGAAGAAAGAACCTCTTGATTGAATAAAAAACTTGAATTATCAACCTATTCGACCTTCACACAGTTTATTTAGTGGGTATATTTCAAATGAGCAATGGGTCAGTCACATAGACTAAATACAACTAGATTTGAGTGCTGTATCTGGCATGCACAAAGTGAAATGCAAGTATTGCACCAAAGGTTCTGACATAGAAATAATGGGAGATTGTGTACTCGGGGGTGATGATAAAGAAACTAAACACAATCAGATCATGTCCAGAGAAGAATCTGCAGCAAAATCAAAATAACTTTCTTATTATCAACTATTCACTTTACCCTACATTACTGATTTAGTGACAATTCGTGCCAGAGGAAAGTAAATATAGTATATGGTGAAAAATGTGTAGATGTGCATTTCAGAGGTTCTAAAGGTAAAGTAAATGTAATATGCAAATTGTACGACGAACAAAGGTGATTTTATTCTTTACATGAACATTGCCTTACACTCCGACTTGTCTGACCGGCGTCGGCAATTCACAGTCATATCTTGAGTACAAATACAAACGTTTGTAACACTTCTGATTTTGAAATATACAACACACTTGTGTATTTAACTAAAATCTTACCACATTTCGTGTAGATATAAGCAGTAAATTCTGAACTATAGTCAACGTTCCTTCTCCAATACGGGGTGGGTCCAATGGAATAACCACGTGCATATTCAGTCAACGCTGTAATTTGATCTGTTTTAGAAAACTTGAGTGTTATTGTAACCTCCTTTACGGTTGGCACCGTTGGAGATTCTGCTTCTATCATACTAAAGATGGTCACAGTGACTAGTCAGCTGCAGTATTAAAATATAAAACTCCTTACCACAGAAATATGGTGGGCTCTGAAGATAATCAACTCTGAAAAAGCTAGTGAAAAACCCACAGTAAATAGAATAAGCTATCAGAAGACCTGAAACTCACAGTTGTGAGTCTGTAAAAGATTTGATCCTGAAACGCACATAGAGATAACTCTTTCCCAAAAGAAGATTTTCCCAAAGAAGTGGAAACATTTATTATTGCTATCCTATGGTCAGTTGAGAGTGAAATTTTCAGCTAACAGAGAAGTTAAATCATTGGAAAAATGTCTTTTGTGTTTTTGCGTTTGGACATTGAAATCTCAGTATAAATAATTTATCAGTACATATAATAGTTGAAAATACTGCAAAATACCAAATATGGCCTGCAAGCAAGCTGGATGATTTTGTTTTTTAACAGGAAATTGGTTTTTATAAAGAAGTTTGTTGTTTAAAATATTTTTGTGTATGCCATAATAAATCACTGACCACTTTGCCAGGACACCTACCTAGAATAAGGTTGAGTCACCTTTCACCACAATAACAGTTTAGGCTCAACGAAAAGACTATAAGGCGTTTGAAATGACTTGTGTTTTTTGTGGCTCATTCATTCAAAACTAGGGAGAGAAATTAATTCACAGTTTTGTAAGAGAAAAACGTGACGAGTATGACAACGTTCGAGTTGATGATGAAATATCTTAAAATATCCTTTGTTCATCAAAGTTAGAATTTAGTTGTATATGATGAGCTTGATTAATGACGAAGTTCGAGCACACCTCAATGTTATTAACCCTTCTTACGGAATCAAAAAACCTCTCCTATGTCATCTGAACATTTCCCACACTGTTACAGGCTCTTGCACTTATAAAACAGTACTAGTCGAGTTAGATGATTCTAGTAGGATTCTCCTTAGTTTTACACTTTTTATCCTACCATCAGTATTGTAGATGTAAAATTCATTCATAAGATCACGCTACGCATTTCTAATTATTAGTTGTCGACAGTTTGCACTCGAAGCACCACTAAGAACGTGTTCATGCTTGCAGTTGAGATGAACAGTGTTCAGATTGCTATAACGTATTTTGCATGGTATGGTTGAATCTTGATCACTTCTGATCGAATCAGTGAGTTGGGTTGCAAACTATTGCCTGTTCAGATTTTTTTTTCGGTCAGTTACCAGATTCAGTAAACACAGTTTGTTTTTTTCCAGTAGAAGAAATGTTCCATGTCGATTTGCACTCTTGAAACAATTTCATGAGATATGTCTTGAACAACCAGTTACTGAAATGGTCTTTAATAATGACATCCTGCTAGATGAACACTCACTTAACATGCTCTTCTTTAAGTCTAAAAGGTCTATGCTCTTGCTCATTTTCTGTATAATAACTTTAATATGGTTGTATATTTGCATTTATAAAGCTAGTTCGAAGTTATGCACAAAGCTACACAATGGGCTATCTTTGCTCTGACCACCAAGAGTATCGAAACCCAGTTTCTAGCGTTGTAAGTCCTCAGACATACCACTGTGTTTAGTGTTGGTTGCATGAGTGAAGCTACATAATGGGCTATCTTTGCCTGTTGG